ATTGTAGAGATGAGGTCTTGCTGCCCAGGCGGGTCTCGAACCCGCGGGCTCAGGTAATCCGCTCACCTCAGCCTCCCAAAGGCACGGGATTACAGGCTGAGCCATCGAGCCCAGTTGGTATAAAATTAATACTTTAAAAAAACAGACTTCATTGATTATATTCTACAGGAATTTTTTTCTCAATAGGTTGTTGTCTATTAATCATAAAAAGGTAAAACCAAACTGAAAAAGACAGTCTCATATGATACAAAGCAATTATATTTCTTTAAGGAATTATCTGAAGAGATTATAGGATCACCCATCCCAGAACCTAGACAACGCTCAAGACTATTAAGATCTCAGTCAGAAAGCTCTGATGAAGTTACAGAATTGGACCTTTCACATGGGAAAAAAGATGCTTTTGTTTTGGAGGTAATGTTGCATTGGACTAATTTTTTAAGGTTCCGGGAATAAATGCATATTTATTCAGTCACACCCTAAATTGTTGTGGTACTTTTGTATCATTACAACTGTTATATTTTTTAAAATATTGTAGTAATTACAACAAACTTGAAACTATCAAAACTTGGTAACATCTTTTTTGTTCAACACCAGATGACTTATAGCGTAATGCAGATGGATCTTAAAAAATTAATGTATGGGTTGAAATAATACTAAAATAGTATCAAACCTTTGGAGTTATTTTTGTAAACTTGAATTAATTTAAATAAGAAATTAAAGTGCTATTCTTTAACTTACTATAATTATTACCTTTTTTATATACTATGTTACTATACTTAAAACATTTTTGCATGTGACATATAAGCATTGTGAATTCTGAGTGTAGTGTTTTTTTATAGAATTCAAAAGATATAATTGATATTTCTTTATAAAAAGACACTCAGAATATTTTAGTGTTTTTCCTAGAGAATAAATATAGCATGAAAGGTTTATGCAACTTCCTCACAAGTCTGCTCCCCGGGCCCGTCCTTGTAGAAAGGTTAGCTTCCAAAGTGACACAAGATCTTCATTTTCATATTGAAGGAAAAGGAAAAAAAAAGTGGGGGGGGGGGTTTACTCAGAAATAGAATAAGGTACAAGCTGAAGGAAAAAAAAAATCAGATATTTTGATCTCGGTGAAGCAGGAGGCTGGTGGTAGAATTGTGTTGGGATAGAATTGGAGGTTTGAAGAATCAGGTACAAAGCTGTTGACTGGTAAGATGTCAGCCACAGGAGATGTGCAAGGCTTGAAGTGAGAGTGCTAATTTGTAGAAAACCCACACTGTAGAAAAAACACTGCATGTTTTTTTGCCTTTGTTTTTACATTTTTTTCTAGTTTGGGAATGGAGAATGTGGAGCTTGTTAAAAGAATATGTCAGGTCATGGAAGAGAAAGTTTCCAGGGCACAGTCTAGAGCAATGGTACTCAAAGTGTGGTGTGACTACTTGCAGCATGAGTGTTACCAGGAGGCTTTGTAAGAAATGCAAATTCTTGAGCCCTTCCTCAGACCTAGGAAGTGAGAAATTCAAAATGGGACCCAGGAATCTGTTTAACAGATGTGAAGCATTACCTGAGTTTGCATTATTGATATGTCTGATCCTGGGATCCTGGCTAAGTGGAAAGAGGCACATGAGAAAGGTGCTTTAGGCATGGGCAGAGAACTGAGGACGAGAGGCAGATTCAGAAAGAGGGGACAAAGAGATGGGAGACTATAGTTGGAGAATGCTTGAGGTCCTGGGTGTGAAGCATTTTGGGAAGTTCCATGAAGTATGATCATGATGGTGGGTAGCTCAGATGAAGTGTAAGTGACTCTTGGAAGTCCTGATGGTGATGTGAGGAGAAGCTTACATGGTCTTCAAGTTGGAACTTAAGACACTGTTGTACAGATGAATGTCAATATATGTCCAGCTGCATATTTTCCTCATTTATTATTCACAATGGAATACGTAGTGACGCAAGAAAAATACAATATAGACTTATTTATTTTAGATATGTCTTTAAATTTATCTCTACCAAATTCTATTGTAAAGCAGTCCTATATTTAGTCAAAATATTTTTATTTAATACACTGTATTAGTTTAAAGAACTTGGGTTAATGATTGCTTATGTTGTCTTTGTAAATCTTTTAGAAACATGCTTTTAAAAAATGTATGTAAAATATTTTACTTATTTGTAATTATTACTGTGGAGAAATTTACTGATATTAGAATTTTTTTCATATTATGTACTGTCAACAGGGGAAAATGACTCTACTTTGTCTTGACTGTGATGTTTTCTATTTAGTAAAAAATATGAACAGTTTTTGAAAAATTGAAATAATTATACATTTACTACTTATAGTCTTAATCCTTTTATTTTCAGATTGATGACACAGATGCCATGGAAGATGTGCATTCTCTACTTACTGATGTTCCTCCTCCTTCAGGTGAACAGAAAAAAATTACCTTTGACGTAAAGCTAGTTTTACATATCAATGTTTTGGTTTGTAATTATCATAGTACTAATTTTACCTTAAAGGCTTTATCACAGTGTCACAGTCTGTCATGTACTTTGCTGCTCTAAGGTTGAAAATACATAATTTAAAAATATTTATGTTAGAACTTAGATAGAATTGATTTTTAATTATTTTATATGTGTATATGAAGAAAACTGTAATAATTTATTAGGATGGTTTCAAGTCTTCTAAAGATATAGTTTAGAAAAAAGAATGAAGCATTTTATAGTTCGAACTTCATGTAGTTATTGGGAAATGTTATTTAACACAAAAATCAGTAAAATATTATCATATTTTAATTATAATTTATTTGACAGGCTTTTATAGTTGCAATACAGAAATTATGCCTGGTATAAATAATTGGACGTCTGAAATACAGGTAAATCTTTTCCTAATTTTAAGCAAATACCACATAAGTTGTTTTAGTAAGTTCCATCTAAGTATCTGTTTTCTTTTTGAACTCCTTATTGCAATTAAAATACTATCCTTATTCAACCACATTAGTTCATATTGTTTATAGACAGTTTGTCAACTGTAAAATACTTAGTTAGAAATAATAAAATGACATGTTGTTATATTCCTCACATTTAGATGTTCACTTCAGTAAGAGTAATCAGATTAAGCAGCCTTAACTTGACTAATCAAGCCCTCAATAAGAACTTTAATGATCTCTGTGAAAACTTGCTCAAGGTAGGAATCTTCTGACTAATTTTATTTAAGATTCTAAGAATCATGAAATTTAAAAAGTGTCTGTTGTCTGTAATACACTACACGACTATAGGCTGAATTAGTCTTATCTATCTGTCTTACTTCTGTGATCAGGTGAAATGCTAAAGTTGTCCTCTCCCCTGTAATATATTATACTATAAAGATATATAGTTTAAGTTAATTAATAGCTTTAAATTTGTAAAAATCTGGTGTATATTGTATAAATTTTGAAAACCCTATCTTTTATTTTTTATGACTTCTTAAATATTAAAATATATTCTTAATGTAAGAATAGAAAAAGTGGACCAGTTTTGTTTTAATTTTTTTAACTTTCCATTTGCCATAATATAATGTACATTAAGAAAATCAGCTTTTATAAGTTTTTAAATTAAAAAATGACATTACTAATGTTTTCTATTGTGTAGAGCCTGTATTTTAAACTACGATCTATGATCCCCTGCTGTCTTTGCCATGTAAATTTTACAGTATCTCTGCCTGAAGATGAGTTAATTCAGGTAATTAAGATTCAATTATTAAAGAATAGCTTTGATCTGTTTTATTTTTATTATCTATTTTATTATTATAATTTTGCTGTAATAAAATTACCTAAGTGCACACTGTTTTACCTTAAAGTACTTAAAAATATATTTGTATGACTCAGGCCACGTGTGTTTCTTTTTTTGAACTCTACTTTTCTGAAGGTGGAATCACACATGTGCTCCAGCATATGAGTACAGTAGGATCTGGACTCATCATGTGGGATTTTACAGTTCCCATTTTTTAAGAAAGGGTCCCTGAGCTCTTTCTGGAATATCTAGATTTAAGCATACATGTTTGTCATACTTATAGTTTGAATATCTGAGTTTATATGTAATTCTGATTAGGAATCTTAACCAGAAAAGGCAAATCAGCCCATTGTTATAGTTTGTCATGGCACTGAAAAAGATTTGTAAGAAACTTAATTTTGGCAATGATTATTTTGCTAATTCTGTTGTTTTTATAATTCTAGGTTACAGTTACAGCAGTTGCAATAACTTTTGACAAAAATCAGGCTTTACAGACCACAAAAACACACGTTGAAAAATCATTGCAAAGAGGTAAACCTTTGATAAATGGGAAGTACAGTTTGTGTTTGTGTATGTTACAGTTTAATGATAAAACATAGAGGACAAGTGAATTAAATAAATGACTTGTTTCTTGAAGGATATTTACTCCTTTTTCTGTTCATTTTTATTAAGATAACTGTATGGATAAACATGTGACTGACTTGATATTTTTCGCATGGTGAAGCTATTTTTCACAGGTGGTATTTGACTGGTATTTACACAGGGGAATTATAGTATATTAATTCTGCAGTAGTTTAAGGGTTCTTATCCTACTATGTCTTACAAAATCCTCAAGGCATCTGAGAACCTACTGATGTAGTGAGCAAAATTGTGTGCCTTTTTTTTTCAGGAAAAGGCTCATAGTATTCAACATATTCTCAGAAGTATTCTTAATCTAGTAAAATTTAGGAAGTACCATTATTAATATATTATGAAGAAACCCAAATTATTGGAATCTATTTATGTATTCTGAAAAAGAAAGGGGGTACTATGCTTTCTAAAGTTTAAATGACTTACTGATAAATAAAATATTCATGGTTAGTATCCTAAAGTTTTTAAAATTGATTATATCCCACATGTATGGCATTGATAAGATTTAAACATTGAGTTAATGTCAGATAGTCGTGTTAAATGATTCAGATATTTATCAGAGAAGATAAATAATTGGCTTAAGTATCACAGAAACTAGTAAGGTACAAAGTGTAGCATAGTAATAATTATTACTGAGCACTTTTTATTTGTAAAGTCATATACAGGAATTAATCTTTTAAAATTTCACAGCAGTCTTACCAGAGAAGGTAGCACCACTCACAACATCATGCAGATGAAGGATGCTCATGGGAGAAATTGAGGAAATAACCAGAATAAATTGGGGTGGAGAGATGGAACAAAAACAAACACACACATATACATATATATGTATATATGTTGTCAAGATTTCTTAATTTTTAAAAAAATTAATAATAAATCATTACTAAATAACCAGTGTTTTTCTTGCCTTTCTAGCCTCTACAGATAATGAGGAACTTCTGCAGTTTCCACTGGAACTATGTTCAGATTCACTTCCTTCTCATCCTTTTCCACCGGCTAAAGGTTGGTTAAATAAGGGAAGAAGGAAACACAAATCCTAGTTTCTAGTCACTTGCTTCTTTATAATAGGCAGTCTTACTTATCTTGAGGCAAAGATTTATCCTTCATTTTCATATTGTGTGTTTCTTCATGTCCATAAAGGGGAGAAAGTAATGTTCCTCTTATTTTAATTTCTCAAGTAATTTCATCATGAATTATTAAGGTAATTTTTCCTATGATAATCCATTCTCATACCCCAAGTATATTGGGATTTCTCAATGTAACTATTCACACATTTATTTGGTATTTATATTATATTTGCTAAATTCTTTTCTAGCAACAATCAAACCTTTTCAAAAATTTTTGGACTGTCGTAGACAACAGAATGCTTGCTGTTTTTTTCCCCCCAAAAGATATATGGAGAGGTTTTGAGTGTAGATAATACAAGAGAGTAAAGAATGAGCTTCCTGTCTCTTGTGTTCTGTGGCTATAATTGAAGAACGTTGTTATATACTTATTACACACTACCATTTTTTCTAATGCAAAATAATTGTCTTTTAATTTAAGAGCAGCAATCCTATCTTTAGAGAAAAGTAGAAGATATTGTTTTCCATTTCATATTTTTTTTTTTTTTTTGAGTTGGAGTCTCACTCTGTCACCCAGACTGGAGTGCAGTGGCCGCTCCCGGCCACCGCAGCCTCGACCTGCTGGGCTCCGGCGATCCTTCCGCCTCAGCCTTCCGAGTAGCCAGAATTACAGGCGCGCGCTACCACGCCCGGCTGATTTTTTGATTTATTGTAGAGATGAGGTCTCACTGCCCAGGCGGGTCTCGAACCCGCGGGCTCAGGCAATCCACTCACCTCAGCCTCCCAAAGGCGCGGGGTTACAGGCTGAGCCACCGAGCCCGGCTTTCCATTTCATATTTGATTACAGTAGTTTTTATTGTAAAAAATTTCAAAATTACTGTACCTCATTTAGTAATATTACATATTGGATAAATGTATGTTTTTTTTACCTTTTTTTATTTTGAGAAATTATGTGGTTACTTAAAATCAAATCAACCATTCTAATTTTTATGTTTTATAATACAAATAAAATTATTTTATGATTCCTACTTGTTAATTTTTCTATCTGATACCAATGTATAATACAGAATAGTTTTATATTTGCTTCACATATATACAATATTATGTCAGTACAAGTCTGATCTATAGTAGAGAATTAGGTATTTGAGGATGAAAATAAGCTGCTTTCAGATTCTGAACTTTCTAACACCGTAACTGTGATCCTCTTTTATTTTTATCATCACCTAAAATTTTGATTTAGAACTGTATAGAGGATTGAAGCATATCTCAATGTCCTTGAAAGAACAGAGAGGAAAAATCAAATTCAGAGGTAATATGAGTTCAGATTTATGAATTAAATATAGCTTCCAGACAGAAAGCAGAACTGTCAAGAGTCTTCCTTGAACTCACTAGATAGCAAATGTTTTTTTAAACACCTACTTTATACTGAAACTTGTATTTATGCAGGGTTAGGTCCAAATCACTTTTAGATATAATTTCATTTATCCTTACCCTACAGTAGGGGCAGAAAACCCCTCAAAAACCTAATGAACAAAGAAGATTTGATCACTTGCTGATCCACAGGAAAAGATATTTGCAGACTTGAGGTCTCTATTAGCTCAATCTTATGTTAATTCCAACTAAATTCTACAAAAGATTAGATTTAAACTCTGTAAATTTGACTTATCTTTATTGATAGCTTGCAACTTCAACAGTAACTTTCAAAATGTTTTCAAAGCTGAAGAACAAGAAAAGAAAATTTTGAGCAGGATAAGTCATATTTGCTACTCATTTTAGGGAACGTGGAGAGGCATCATGAAGTGGGAGTTAAAAAGTGGGAGTTCTCAGTTCTGCTGCTGATTAGGTGTAAGAACTTGGACCAATTCCTTAACTACTTTTAGCCTAGCTCCTCATGTGTACAATGTAAAAGAAAGAGTAAGATTCTCTCTAGCCTGTAGAATTCTGTGACTCCTAGGGTTTCTATAGTCTATGGTTCTGTAATTATTAACATATTCATATTATTAGAAAAGTAAATCAAAAGATAAATTAGTCCCTGAGGTTACACTGAGCTTCTGTAGTTAAGTTAAATGAAGTGTTTCCAAATAACTTCTTATCAATTAAACCAATAAATATTGAATTCTGTACCTCCAAACCCTAAGTGTTGTCAGAGGTGCCTCATGGCTTTGCAGGAGTAAGGATGGGAGGGAGCAGAGAATTGTAAGTGTGAGGAGTAAGACAATAATATGTCTCTGGATCCCCTACCTTTTGAATCAGAACAGTTTCAATTCTGTGTGTCTTTACATATCAGTCTTCTATATATGATTTTACTTGAAAAGGATCTCAAAAGATTTGAAAACCACTGGATCAGATCATGCCACCTTTATCATCATCATAATTATCGGATCATCACATCTAATACTAATGTACAATATACATAAAATTTTTTACACGAAGTGTGTAATTGTAAAACCTATGTGCTTTTTCTTCAATATTGCATTTTAAAATCACCAGTAAACACTTAAAAGTGTATCTGTACCTTTCTGTAAATAGTTTTGTAGTTTCATAAATTTTGGGTTTATGTTGCATGCTTATTTATTGTCTTGTGCTTCCTCAAGTCTTTTCGGGAGGACATGGGCTAAATATATTTTTTAAAGTTAAGTCAAAATATTTTGAAAAATTTGAGAGTAAGGTGGGTTTTGGAAAGGCCTGAAGAATATAGTAATAGAGTCTTATAACATGAATGGAGTAATTGAGTATTGTAACATGATAGAAGGCTTTGAATGGAGAATAGAAATGTCTGGAAATTTTTAAGCATAACAATTTTGAGGAAATAGGACAGAGAAAGGTAAGAGTGTTAGGAATAAATGCTCAAAGTCTTATCTGCTTTTTTATATGCAGCCACAAGAGGCTTAAAAGTTAACTACTAATACTGATAAATAAATGTATACTAGTTATAGTTTTGTTAAGTTGATTAGTTAAGCTGATCATTCTTTCATTTTTACTTTCAATAACTTTGAATTCTAGTTTATATTTCATGTTCTTGTCACAAATAGGATGATTTGCTAAAATTTTAATTTCCTTTTATGTTGATGGAGGAGTAGTTTCAAGAGCTAAGCATAGTATGTGTATTAATACTTCCATCTTTTCACTTGTAGATAAACCTTTCATTGTCTTTTTGTGTTTTTGAAAATGGGTGAATGTCATGAAGAAATGGTACTCCAATTACTTGTATCCTAATTCGCCTCATAGAGTAAGCCTGGGCCTGAATTGTCCATCCATGTTCAAGTTTTTCCTTCCATTGTTTATTATGTTTGATTTTGTTTTTCAAGGTAACAGAATATTTTGATGTATGTCTCATATTTGTTGTTGATTTGGTGTTACCTTGCTGGTTATCTTGCTTTTTCTGATTTGAAATATTAAAAAGTGCTGAGCTTAAATAATTCTTAAGGTATATTACCATGTGAAGGTCATCAAAATTTAGAGAAATATAGATGATATTGAATTACCATAAATTATTTGTCCATATGAGGCTGTGTTATGAGAAAAAAGATGGCTATAGCAAGTTATTATACCACTCTCATAATGTTCTTTTCCTCATTGTTGATATTCACACCTCAGTTTTTCTCAGAAATAGTTTTTAAGATTCTTTAAAAATTATATATGTAGGGAAAATGAGCAAATATAGTAAAAATGGGGCATTTGGGTGAAGGTGATGAGGGTGAAAATTTTTAAAAACCAGATTTTTCTCATAGACTGCAGTCAATCGCAAGAATTTTATGCCTGTAATTTTTGTAAAAGGTTAGCATATTACTAGGGCTTAAGAACTTAGATTAGTAACCATATTATAGGATTTAAGAATTTAGATTAGACAAGTGTTTGTCAATTATATACCACTTTAAATATATTTCAGATATTTTATAAATCTAATATATGACAGGATGAGAAAAACTTTAATTAAAATATTATTTAAAACTTTCAAAAGGTTTAATTGAACTAATTTAAGTTTTCATATACTATTGAATGAAACTGTATAGAAGACTCCTTTTTGTACCCACATTATTTCTTGCTTTCATTTTGCTTTATTCTAGAGTAATTTCCTTGTGTTCAATGTCATAAGCTATAGACTGGCAGGAATTCTCTTTTTTGTAACATCAGCATAGCAAATATGGCAAGTATAAGTTAAAAATCTGTATTTCAGTATAAAAGAAAAAAATTTGCTTATTCCCGCAATATATTGTACCAAAATTAGGTATCTATATCAGAATATGTTTTTTATCTTCATTTTTATTGTAAGCTATACAAGATGCTTTTTATTGAACCAAATTTGATTTTAAAATATAGTTTAACTTTCCATTTAATGACTTGCCTAAAATTATCTTAAACTAGCAGTTAGAAATATACATATCTAGGCCAAGTATGATACCTTATTCCTGTAATCCCAGCACTTTTGGGAGGCCAAAGCAGGAGGATTGCTTGATCCCAGGGATTTGAGGCTAGCCTAGGCAACTTAGTGAGATCTTGTCTCAACCAAAAAATAAAAATTAAAAAAAAAATTATTCAAGTATGGTAGTGCATGCCTATAGTCCCAGCTACTTGAGAGGCTGGCGTGGAAGGATCTCCTGAACCCAGGAGTTTGTGACTGTAGTGAGCAGGTGATCAAGCCACTGCACTCATGCCTGGGTGACAGAGTGAGACCAGCCCCAACTCAAAAAAAGAAAGAAAAGAAAATTTAAAAAAAGGGAAGGGAAGGGAAGAGGGGAGGGAGGGAGGGAGGGAATGAGAGAGAGAGAGAGAAAAGAGAGAAAGAAAGGAAAGAGAAAAGAAAAAAAAGAAAGAGAAAGAAAGTTTTGTAAAAATTATAAAAGTTAGCTTTTATTTTTCCTGGCAACTAATAATTTGAATTCTTACAACCATATATAATTTTTTATATTAACTAAAGTCGATTGTTATATGTTAATA